GGACCTCGCATCGTTGACTCTCGCTCCATACGGGCGTATGCGTCAACGTCGACGTCTCTTTTGCAGTTTCGCTCCATTGCTCTCGTCGTCGTCTCAATACTGCTCGACGTCTCGATCGTAGCATCTGTTCGTTCGCAGCTCCCTTAGCTCGCGTCGTCTCTGCTCGACGTTGTTTCCCTGGTCTGCGCTCGACAGCTCCTCTGTCTGCTTCGCAACCTCTGTCGCTCGCAGCTCCCTTAACTCACGTCATCTCTGTTCGACGCTGCCCAACAATTCAACGCCCTCGCTTCCTTGCAGCCCGTCTGACCGTTTCTTTCCTGACCGTGACTATCTTGTGAGGGAGATGGCATCGACGCTCTGTTCCTATGCAAATGCCCTTGCCAACGACTTACCCATTGCCCCTCCTTTAGGTTTAGAGCCTATTTTTGATATCGGTAAGTTTTGCAATGTTCCACAATCGTACCACGAGGCTCTTGAAGGTGGCGGTGATCACACTTCTTTTCAAAAAGCTTGGGAAAAAAATGGAAGCTTGTACTTTTTCTCACTGAGGTTGAAATTGGTGCTCTAGCGTCCTCTTGGCGTTTTGCTCTAGTGGGAAAATTTCTTTATGGTCACCCAAAACTGAAGATCATTAGGAAAGAATTTGGTGCTATGAAACTATTGGGCAGTTGGAAAATTGATCTACTAGACGGTTGACATATACTTATTCAGTATCTCACGATGCTGATTATACTCGTATTTTCTCTAGCAAAATTATCAAGATCGACAATCATTTTATGAAAATTCTGAAGTGGACTGTCGGTTTGGATTCAAAAGCGGAGTCCCCTATCATTCCAGTTTGGATAAAATTTTCGAGGTTAAATTTACATCTGTTCAACTTGAAAATTTTCTACTCAGCAACTGCTTTAATTGCTTACAGTAAGCCTCTCAAGGTGGATATTCCTACGCTTGCTGTCACCAGACCCTCTGTGTCTTGTGTTTTAGTTGAGAGAGATATTACTCAATTAGCTCCGAATGAGATATGTATTGACACTATTCACAACTGGTATTGACAAAAAGTTGAAATAGAACCACATTCTTCTTATTTCTCTCATTGTATAGTATGTTTGGCCATAGTTCTACTATTTACTATCTCTTGCATCCGCATCTAAAGTCAAATGTCACTAAAGATCAGGCACCTACCATTCTTGTCAATTCGATCATCTTTCCAACATCGCAGTTCCACATGAAGAACACCTTACTACAGATACAGATCCAAATGTGATGGTACCACTTACTGTTATTGAAGAAGACCCACTTGCATGTTAAGACACACGAGAGTGCTCTTTTGACCCGATAGAAGATCAGTTGGTACAACAAGTAGTTGTTTCCAATGTTCAACAACTTACACATATCATGCACACTTCAGACCATTCAGTTGATCAGGTCAGCCAATCTTCGGATGAGGAATGACAGATCTACACGAGGAGGAAGAGAAAGAACGAAGGACGAGTCGAGTTAGGCAATCTATTGGATGATACATTGGTTACTACTGACAATGCACTTATCTTACCAATTTATTATCTAGCTCCTTCCCTAAAACTAGAGGCAGAGGCAAGGCAAAATCGGGTCGCTCTTCAGCTACTTGATACTCTTATTTTGGCACATTTTGGTTTTTTATTTTGATCTCTTATATTTTTTGTTGTATTTTCTCCTTTTTAGAACCATTTGATTTGGTGGTTTTTGTGTGGGCTAGGTGTCATGTTTATGACCATCCACAAAATTTATCTGTACCCTACTTTTTATTTAATATATTAGCCTTTGGGCTTTATATATATATATGCCACGTACCTCAGCCCGTTGGTTGACTTCCATGGAATGAGACCCCTTAGGTTGGTGGTTCGAATCCCCTCTGGCACTGTTGGCCTTAAGGAGGTGCCACTCGAATTGTTAGGCACATTAGGGGTGACTGGAAGCTCGTATAATAGCCTCTGATCATTCCTTTAATATATATATATATATATATGCAAAAGAATGAGTAATAATTAAACTTAGGTTTAGTGTTATATACGGTGGAGGATGAGTAATAATTATTATTATGAAAGAGAATTATTTATGGAGGCATGTTGGTGGAAGGCTCTAGTTTTGATTGGGAAGGCCATAGATGAGATGTGGAGATTGGAGATGGGAGCCAGATTTGGTGAGGGGGAACTATGGAGGCTAATGGATGGCTTTGAAGTGGTTTTTGGCATGGTTGGAGTGGCTAATCTTGAGAAGGCTAGCTTTAGGTTCTCTTCTCTCTTTTGTGGGGCATGGGGAAGGAAGATGGTGGATTGCTATGAGGGTTTATGGCATGTCTTTTGGGGTTGGGAGTTAGATGACGAGTGGAATGTGTGAAATTGTGACGCTTTGTTTCAAATACATGAGGGAATCGAAGTGGGGGAGAGGAAGTGAGGAGTTGGGGAACCGAAGAGGGAGAGAGGAAGCGAGGAGTTAGAAATACAAAAGGTACTTTTGATCTATAAATCAGAGACGAAATCAACTTACATAGAGAGTCAAACGACGCATGCGGGAGACGATGAGTGGTAAGCTAAGGCTTTCAACTAGCCAACATTGACGGGCGATGACGTCTCTGTCAAGCAGAGAGGAGGCAGCATTAGTGTCAAGCAGAGTAGGAGTCGACGTCGGTGTCGTGCAGCCGATTGTAGGTAATCGAAAGGAAGGAGCCCTCATGCAAGTGAAATTGCGTGCAAAGGGCAAGAAGAAATTCTTTCTTGCGGATTAGGGCACGACTGAGTTTTTAAAGGTAAAATTTAATAATTTTATTTATTTGATTTAATTATATATATATATATATATATATATTTATTAAATTAGGACTCTTGGTTTAGAATTTTAGATTGGAGGAAAGTAGATTGAGACGAAGTGTGCGAGCTAGAGGAAGATTGACTCTAACAAACTTTGGTAAGGAAAATTTTATATTATATTTTAATTAATGAATTTTAATAGAAAAATAAAGTTTATTCGGATTTCATAAAGTAAAATGATGGAAACTTTATTACTTAAATAATATAATGTTAATATTTAATTAAAATAATATGAATAAATTAAATTCTAATAATATGTATATCACGTTTATTATAAGCATCAATTTTAGAAGTCTTGATCAAGGTAAATCTAAGAAGACATACTATAATAATATTTTGCTTCTTCTAGATCAAAGGCTTTTAATGTTATTGTCACTGGTTATATTGAAATTACTCCAAACTCACGATTTATGATTCTATGAAAATGTTGTTCATATTGTAGGAATGTTGTGCACTTAGCATTTTAAAAAAAAAAATTCTATAGATATTAAATGTTGTACGAGTATATTTCAAATGAGAATGAAATAATCATTATTATTAAATAGTGATTTTCATAGTTTGTTTGCATGTGCATGTTTGCTTATGATGGAGTTATATCTTTATTGCACTAGCAAGAGAATATTAAGGTACGTACGCATATATATGGAAAATGATATTGATATTGAAGTATTTTAATTATTACAATTTTTAGACAATGCTTTTGTGATTGTTGTACATATATAAAATGATATAAATATATTATTGATATAGTAAAACTCATTAAATAAAACTCATTAAATAACATGAATAGTAAAACTCATTAAATAACATGAAATATCGTAAGTGATCATATTATTAAAATATCTAATACTTTATATTGATTTACAAAAAAAATTAACTGACATGTACATTATTTATTTTTCCCATGTATAACTGTAGTTTAGAATTATAAGTATTCACTGGTTTTGGTTAGCTCATAGTTATTTTAAACTAACTTTTTAAGTGTAATTGAATGATTTAAAAGATGAGCAATTGAAGAGGGAATGTTTATAAAAGACGTGAAGAATCTGTAATGAGATAAATTTAATTGTATCATCTTAATTTAATTTCCTTAGTGGCTCTTTCAAATATTAAATGTTAGTTATAGAAAAATGAATATAGAAAATTTAGTTCTCGCAGTCCGACCGTTTGTACCCGCCTTGGTTTATTTCTAAGCTTGTAGGCGATAATAAAAACACAATCATAGCTTTAAGTTACTAAAGTCTAGTACCACCAAGCTTCACCAACAGATTTGAACACAAGAAAAGCATCAGTGTTCATTTAATATTTTAGAAGTGGAGTGCCCGATGTTTTTTTATTCATGAAAGAATGAAAGCACATCTTGAGAGTTTATTAGGGCTCCGTTCAAGCTGTTTATGGAATTGGAGTGATTCTATGCATTAAATTGGTCATGATAGGAGGGATGGCTAAGACAATTTGGAGGGAATTTACACTTTTTCCCTCTCTTTTTCTCCCGCTTTAAAAGCATTTGGGCCTGCTTTTCTTGTGAGGAAGGTGTACATGTCTTGTAGAAAGAGACACATACTTGAATTTGAAGAGGAGAGGCCAACCAAGCTTGATCTAACTTCCGTGCTTTAAGATTTGGAGTGTTGTTGATGATGATGGATCTAATTGCAATTCTCTAATTCATGCTCTTATCTTATGTTTCTGCTACATTAAGAAATGGTAGACTAAAGGCTACATGGTTAAGATTTGTGGGGAAAAAATATGTAAATTAGGTATAACACCTCACACAATAACTCACAATTTGAGTATGAGGAATCATAATACCTACCCAATCTGTTGGATGTGGGTAATGATAACAATGCAAGTTGAGGCAAGGGCAGACGCGTTAAAATAGAACATGTACTGGAGGAAAGGACTGAGTATAAAATAACTCTGTAACTAGTCATTAGATTACCGTTTTGAGCAGTATTCAAGAATTTATCGAAGTAATTGCTTTTTCTTTTGCATGCTCATAACTGCAATAGTACTTCAGTGATAATGATGTTTGGCTTAGTCAAAGTTTAACCTCATTGTTTGTTTGATATGATAGATGCATGAGTTGATTTATGATATTAAGTGTTAAAATGTGATCCAATCAGTCATGAAACTCTTTTTTTGTTGATGGTTCAGGTTATACCAGCATATGGCAGGCCTGCTTTTTCTTCTGAGCATCCTTTAGGAACAACTGATACTAAGTTTGCTCCGTTTTCAAAACCAGCTTTTGAAACTAATCGATATACGAATTATGAAGGCACTGGGACTCCTTATCACAGAAATGAATTTGATCGCTTTGGAAGCTATGATAGGACGCCAGCACCATTTCAAAGGAGTGAATTTGATCACCATACTGTGTACAATGACTCAAATCTCCATGATAGAAGCTCATTTGGAAGAAGTTCCTCTTCTTTCGGTGAAATAAGCTCGTATCAGACTCCAAGATCAACAGATGCCTTTTTGAGACCAAAGTTTGAGAGCTCAAGCCCCATTAGCAGGCCTTACGGTTACTCAACAATGCCACCCTCTTATGGCAGTCATGGTGGGCAGGTTCATGATCCTGGGGATACTCACTTCAGTCGCCATTCTGCAATGTTGGATCAATATGGCCGCATCTCCCCTCAAACACTTTATGGTAGGTTGCTCTTTACTGCGGAAGCCATTTTTGGGCTTACCTGTTGCTTGCTTTTAAACTGGAATGGAACTTAGATGTTAAACTAAAATTATCGAAGGCTAAAAGTTGTCCATTATAATAGTAGAACTTACATTTTAACAGGTCATAATAGGTAAATATAACTTTGTTTACAATTATTTTGTGTATAAAAAATAAAATTATTATATTTCAATGGACTGTGCAATTTAAAATCTTATTGATTTAGATTTGCATCATACGGAGTTGTGCCATGCAGCAAATTCAATTGTCATGTAGACTATGGTTTCTGGTTTTTAAACAAATAAACATGTCCTTTCTACATTGGCATTGATATCATTCTTTCACTTTCATGTAGAGTCCACCTTTCAATTTTATTTGATTGAAAATTAACAGATACACACATTTGTTATAGATAAAATTATGCGTAGGCTATAATATATTTTTTTCAAGTTATATATAAAGTGTATGCAAGTTATATGTAGCTTTTACAAGGCAGGACTGTATGTTGGCTGCCAGTTTCCTTTATGCTTCAACATCTGTATTCTATTCTCCATTGTTTGTTTGTGATTTTTTGAAATGTTTTAGTTGCAGCCACGTTTCATGGTCTTTTTAAGTGATAATTCACTCACATGTTCTGGTAATAAATTATATAGCTAAAATATTTTCCAGATTGAAAATGCTCAGAACTAAGTTGATGTAATGTCACCATTGATTTATATTGTTGTTTCCGCTGAACTTCATCAATGTTAAAGTCCCTTGTAAATACATAATAATTTGGTTGTAGTAATTCATATTTAATAAATCTCGTGGAGATTAACTCTTAATAACTGTTTGTTAAGACTATCATTAAATCCTGATGACCTGTTTGCTCATTTGTTTTAGATTTAATATTTAAGAGGGTAAAATCCTTAAATCCGTTAAATCAATTAAATCTTGTAAATAGTTGGACTTGTTTAAGTACAGGATTGAACCGAAATAGAAGGATTTGAAATCTTCAAAATTCTCTTTGGCTTGATTTAAGCTAAAGCTTGCATAAATGCTTGAGAAATTATGTATATTTATAGATTTGTGGCTGAAATTTTACATCAATCTCTCATAATGATTTCCTTACTTTCCAAATAATTTTCACGCAGGATCTCCTTATGCTGCAACTCCACCACAAAGGCCTTCTCCTGTATCCCGCGACGTTCGTCCGCCGATGGATTACTCTCCCCATTCATGGAACCGTTGAAGAAAAAGAACACCAGACTGTATTCAGGTTTTCAAGGGTTAATGTATTTTGCCGTGGAATTATAAATTGGGCATTCTGCATATAAGAAAATCTCCTCTATTGCTCTACACTCCATGATGTAGGGAGGGTCATAGGAACAATCTCTCTCTCTCTCTCTCTCTCTCTCTCTCTCTTTCCATATATATATATGAAATATTTGTTATAAATGTCCTAACTACTGCGTGTAATATTACTTTGAACTTTTTAGCTTTGGAGCTGTCTCATTTGCATATATTTGTGGTTCTGGCTGATGGTTTTACATGAATTTTGGTGTTTCCTTGGGATGCTGTGGACAAATGTTTAGTTTACTAAGCATCAATATAATAAAAAGAATGGATTTATTTGGGATTGTTTTTATGTTTTTTTTTTTTTTTGAAAGTTTAGTGTATCTTAATAATGTTTTCCTATCTTTTTCATTAAGATAAACTTGTCTATTTAAATAAAAATGATTTTAAAGTATAGGGCTTGGATTTTTGGAAGAGGGATATGGTATGATTTGGTTGTTTGGTTGAGGTGTGTATTTGATCGATTTGTATGGCTTGTTCTCATATGTGATAAATCAATTAAATCAAATCAAAGTATAAATATAATCGAATAAATCAAATCACAAGTAGAATCAAACTATATTGAGTTGTTATAAAGTTCATTTTATTTGAGCTGACTTGAATTCACCGAGAATTTGAAATGAAATGTGTTTGTTTTTGAAACCAAACTAAAAATCAGAGTCCTAAATGCTCTTATTTGAAAAAAAAAATTGACTCATTTTTAATGAATCAATTCAAATCAATTTATTTTTCAATGTAAACCAATTAATGTACATAAATATTTTATGCAATTTTTTTTATTTTTTTTATGCTGTTGCTTCTCGTTGTCTTGTCATTTTCTTGCACTAAGCTCCATTTTTTTGATTGTGAGATGTCACATTCCTCTTAAATTTCACTTTTGGCCAATGTCAAGTGGCATGCTATGCTTCCTACCATTAAAGAATGGGTTTTTAAATTTTTAATTAAAAATCTTCATCCTATTATCTAAATCTTTTGTTGTTTCATTTCTCCTTTGACTCTTTAAAGAATGGGTTTTCACCTACTATAATCTTTCTATTGTAGAGGCAGTGCCTTCTAACTTGGGACACTTAATTAGGGATATTAGTTTTAATTGAAATTGAAGATTGTTTGAAGATTGAATTGATTTTTGATCGAATCAAGTGAATTGAGTTGAGCTATGAGCCAAATGTTCAAATTAATCTTTTTTTCGATCTGATTTTGAGCCAACATCAATTTGAATACAATTTTTTTTTTTTTGTCAGTCAGGTTATCAATTCACTTCGATCTGAGCCTTACAAGGCAATGCGACCGATCCAAGCAGAGTTGCAGACTTTTGGTGCTTCGACAACATTGCTAGCTTAGATTAATTATGGACGACAGTGATCCATCGAATGAATGTATAAAAATATAAAACGCTGCTTGATTTGAGGCTAGTGGCTTGCCCTAACCCGTGTCTCCAATTTCATTTTCTTCTCTTGATCTTTCTTTAAGTCGTCATCCTGACATCATTGTCCTGCCCTTGGCATTTCCATTCTCTTGTTTTCCCTTCTCGTTAGTGCATTGGGTTCAATTATTTCGAAGCAATAAATTCAAATCTCGAATCATTAAGCTCTATAAGGATTTCTATGTTTTCCTTATATTTAGATTTGTGGTTACTTTTAGACATAATTTGGATGAAGGTTTATTGGCTTGTTTAAATTGTTTCAACGTTTCTTGGCTTCAGTTTCAGTGATGCAGTTACTGACAGTGACCTATATTTTATTTTCTTCTCTTAGTATTTCTTGCCAGTTGCCACTTGGTTTCATGGTTTGAACTTTAAAATTTGTTGGACTATGTTATTTGTCATAATGAAAGCTTCAAATGCTAGTCTTTACTTTTTTTATGCATTCTCTAATTGGCTTAAAATACAATTATTATTTTTTATCCTAAGTTTTGTACTTGTCTTATTTACACTCATGATATTACTTTTGATACCTAACTACCAACAAGCTTCTTCCAAATTTGATTCCTGATAAAAAGATTTTAGATAGAACATGGATATTTGACAATGCATTTCTCTCAAACATATTCATTTCTATGAAGGCAAACTTTTGATAAATATTGGTCAGATTGTTCTATATTATTTTCAATTGCATACATATTAGATGCTAAAATGATAAATATTTATAGTTCAAATGTAGTTAATGAGAAGATGAAATTGTAAAATAATATCTTTTTGAGCTCTATGCATACTATACAACTCAAAAACATAATATATTAAATGAAATCACAAAATCATCATCCTCTCAAATGGTTGGAACATCAAATAGTCCACAAAGAAGTGTTGATGATGTTATTGATGGATTGTATGATTTCATCGATTCTTAAGCCTCCTTGTTCCACAAAAAAAAATTGATTTAGAGTTTTGCTTAGAAGAGACTTGTGTGAAATGCCCAGATTCTGAGTTCGATATACTTGAGTGGTGGAAAATGTTAGGCATTGAAGTATAAGGCTCTGTGCAAGATGGAAAAATACATTTTAATAATCTCTAAAACAATTGTTGCATCTGAATTAATTTTTAGTACATATAGTCATCTACTCAGAGATTATAGAAGCTCATGATCACCAAAGTCATTTGATGCTTTGATTTACACTAGTAGTTGGGTTCATTCTTCATATAAGGCATCAAAAGAACCATTGGTATTTTCTTGCAACTTTTAGTCTATGATTATGCCGCATTTCTTTATATTATAGTTTCATTGTTTTTAATTTTTGCTAATCAATTTTAGTTTGACATTCTTGTTGAGAAAATTTTATCATCTTTGGTGCCAGAAAGTATGGTCATTCAGTCCAATATTTGAAGAAGTAATTCTGTTTCGTATCTATAATATTGCAAATGAATGGCATGAACCTTTTTTTGGGTAATTGCGAAGGAGGTTATTGTCTGAATAATGACTAGTTAGTTGACAAATCTAATTTCTTTTAGTTAGACACTTATATTCAAAGATATATATTTTAGTGTTTGAACATTTAGAACATGAGATAGTAAGGATGTGTTATATCTTTTAGGTTTAGTACATTCATATTGTTGTACTTATTATTTAGAGTTTGCATTTTTTTAGGAAATTTTGGTCATTGGAAGCAGCAATTTCAGTTTTACATTTTTATTGAGGATAATTTTCTAGAGATGATTTGGCAATGACGTAAATTTAAGGCCAAAAATAGTGTTGTCGGGCCTATTGGTTCATGGATATTTTACGTTTTTAATAATTAATGTTAGATTTTTTTTTATCACTCTTATTGCCCATAGCTTGTAGCCTGTAGTACAGTGATCCCCTGAGCATGTATAATTAGTTATGTATATAACTATTGTTATGACATCTGTGTTGTTTGCATAAATGTTTGTTATTGTTGATGGAGACGATTCTTGTAGGCTTCATTGCCATGACCATACCTAGTTAGTTGTGTTATCTGTTGTACATAATTGGGGTTATGAAATTCATTTTATTTTCATAAAAATTGTTTCTTAAGGCTGGTGGAAGCGATTTTTGTAGCATGTAGTGTCGTGTGTTTTTTTGACTGTGCGCTGGTTAGTTTAGTTGGTTAATAGTAAATGGTAACATTTATGATCCTTATTGCAACAAAGGTATATGAGATTTTGTCTCTTCATTTTTTTTTTTGAATTGTTTGTTGAATTAGATTTTTAGCATATATGTTGAATGAGGTCTAGGCTACACTCTTCATCTCTGTTTATTTTGTATTAATATTACACTTGAATTTTGATGGCAATAGAGTATAAAGAAAGTTTTTTTCTTAGATACTTTTACTACACTTGAAATATTTCACTATTTCGAAGTTGTGATGAATTTCATGTGACATGATGAGTGAACCATTGTAGAAAATTATTTTTTTCTTTATCTTGAATGGATTCATCATGTTTTATTGCGGGTGTATTTTTAAGCTATTTTTTTCATATTCTCCTTATTTCCTAATATTTAAAAGATAACGGCGACATATAGCCCTGAATGCGTTAAACAAATGTGAAGGTGGCATTTTCAAAATACTACTAAACCAAATAAACGCTCTCCAATCGAGGAAAATATTTGTGTACGTCCAACTGTACCCAGCGCTACGTACCTTGGAAGGTTATACTGTGGGTACAGAGGGGTTATATCCGCGTTATACCCCCTTGTAACATTCCTATAACCTCCCTGTAACCTCTCTGTAACTTCCGTGCTTCTGTAGTTCCGTAGGTACATATAAATTATAGGGAAATTTACAGAAATGTTACAAGGCAGTATAATATGGATATAACCCCCTTGTACCCTCTGAATAACCTCGGAAGTATGCAATGCTGCATGTAGTTGAAATTACACAAATATTTTCCCTCAATCGGCCCTTAAATACACTAAAAAAATGATACCCCAAGAATCAAGAGCAATCCTACAAACATGTCACATTACCTAAGATCCTTCGCCTTTTACGCGGCTGTGCGTGGCAATCACATGCACGGTTCAGATCTTAACCCACTTTATAAGCAGAAAAAAAGACTACCTTTCGCCGTTGGATCAGCAGCTTGTTGCCTCGAGCAAGGGCTAGGGTTTCTTGAAATATCTATTAATACCGCGGCTCCGCAAACCCTCCCCACCTCCCTTTCCGTCTAGACGTACCAGTGCCTTACTCGGTTTCTCAATTTGAAGGTAGCGATCTTCTCACCAGAGGCTGGTTTTTCTGTTCATTAATCCAAAGCTTCGATTTTCTTATTTGATCCCTGTTATAGGTTTTCGCGGTAGATTTTAGGGTTTTTTTGCTGCTTGTAATGCGTAGAATGGTCGGTCTTTTGAGTCTTTATTGAACCGTTTTTTCCGCACGGTGCACCCCGGGCTGTTCCGAGACCCCATGACGAAGGTAGCCCCATTGCTCGTGCAAGAGCTATCGTCCGTTCTGTGTTGCAGTTCTGTTCATTGTTAATTTGACAGATCTGTGTCAAAGCAACGGCTACATTTGTATATTTTGTTAAATTCTTACTCTTTTGAGTTCTCCGCCTTGCTCATATTTAGCAATTTGAGATCTCTACACTGAATGGAATAATTATGATAAAAGTGAAAGAATATGGCATCTGCAATTAAATGTCTGTCATTTAGCTATAGATTGCAGTCGTCTTCATTGGGCTAAACCTTTTTTATGCCGTTTTGCTCCAATCACTCGCCAGATATGTCTTATATTCCATATGAGTTTTTGATTTATGTATTGATTCTTCTTTATTTTATTGTTTTATCAATTATTTCCTAAATCCTTTATTTTTCTTATAGATTGTATGGCGTTTAGCTTTCTTATACTTATTGTTTTCTTCCTATGCGTTTGAATATGTTGGCAATGATTTAAAAATTACCCGCGCTTCTGAAGTATGATTACTGATGTACACTCAAAATCAATGGTTGAATTTCTTAATATGAGCCAACATTTATTTACAAAGTGCATTTTTGTTAATATATTATTTCGTGATAATTTTATGATGCTTATTATGTTTTTAATCGCCCTGTTTTTTATGTCTTAAGAACTTAACATATGGCTCTGATGACTATATGCACCGATTTTAATGTCAGTTCTGCTTCTGAAAATTTATGAAAGAAAAGTTGATAGTTGAATGAGCCATTGCTCTATTAGTTTATCAGTTATGATTTTTCTTAAATATTCTTTTATTTTCCACTATTTCTTTTATGTTTCATTAGAAAATTTCTAATTGTTGCTTCAGCAGCCAATGATGTGTCGTCCAAATTAGTGAGGTGTTGTTAGTCCAAGACCCTGTTTCAGGGAGAACCTCCTTGGGCTACTACATTCAAATGACATTATTGGACTTTTCTGAGGTGTTATCCAGTAGCAAACTCCCTCTCTCTTTTTTTTTTCTTCTCCAATTTGTTTATTTTCTGCTCTCCCGTTAAGCAATTGACCTTTATCTTGACTTATAATAAGATGATGCAGCCTATGGTGTTTTGTCCTAATTTGTGTGAGGTGCAGAAAGTGTAAAATTTTGTTTAGTCGTGGGAGAGCTGAATCACTTCGCCATGAGATAGGTTACAAGGACTTTCATATATCTATATCTTGTGTGTGTGTGTGTGTGTGTTGAACGAAATATAGGGTTTATAGATTGGGTTTTGAGTTTAGACATGATTGTCAGACTTATGTAATTCACAATTTTTAATCAAACATCAATTGCTGATGATTTGCTGTCCAAATTTATGATGTGTAGTAAGTTCAAGACCCTGTTTACCAGGGAGAACCTCCTTGGACTGCTGCATTCAAATGATTTTATTGGACTTTTCTGAGGCAATGCCTATAACTTATATATATATATATATATATATATATATATA